GCCGTGGCGTGCGGGAGCCAGGAAACAGCACGGGAAAAGCTCCACTTGGAGCGAGCCTGGCTTTTGTTTCCATTATAAACTTCCCTCTCGGCGAGGAAGGATGCTCGGGACCCTGTCCCGGCTCGGCCCCGGGCTGGGGGACCCTGCCCAGGTCAGGGGTGCGGCCCCACCCGCCGCCCTTCAATCCCCGCTCTGGGCTGGATCCTGCGGCATCCCCGGATTTCTGCAGGCACCTCTGGCAGCCGTCCTGCTCTCACAACGCTCCCGAGCTGGCAGCTCAGGGTCAGGCAGCTCTTTATCAGCCCCGAGACGCAGCCTAAGGCCGGGATAGTGCAGATAAGGAGCGTGGGATGAGCGGGATGCCCGGAGCAGGGCGTTGTGGGGGTTCCTGTCCTGCCAGGAGGGATCCACAGGCTGGGAAAGGCGGGGGGGGGGGGGGGGGTTGATCCCCAAAATGCCAAAACTGCCTGGGGACCATCCTCACACCCCAGCACTGTCCCCATCGTCACCCTGGGGCTGTGCAGCCCAGCCTGAGGATGAGGCTGGAGGGGTTTGAGTTTGGGGCCTGGCTCTGTTTGCAAATATCCCAACTCCTGACCCTAAGGAAGGGCAGATGGGCTCCAAGATAAGATCCGGAGGAGATTCCTGCTCCAATCCCTGCTCCGTGACTCCCAACACCTCAGCACGCAGCAGGGAAGGGGGTGGTGGGCTGGGAAAGGCCCAGGGCTGGGAGAGCAGGGCTGATCCCACGGGATGATCCCACAGGAGGGGAAAAGCGAGCCCAGAAATAGCAAGTGCAGTTGCAGAAGGCGCCGGTTGCCATGGGATCTTCACAACCAAAAATGACGGGGCTCTGGCAAATACAAGAAGGGGCCCTTTCATGTGTTTCTATGAGAAGTCAGAGCCTCACCACAGCCTCCCGGGCTGGAGCCCTGCCCAGGGCAGGAAGGATTTGGGGACACTGCTGCTGCATTCCCAGGAGCTCGGTCCGGGAGCCTTTTCCCAGGTGCACGTCAGGGATCACTCGGGATTGAGTCTGGCTGTGCCCAAGTTCTGCTCGGTGAAGGGGAGAGGTTCCCTGCTCCTCCTGCTGGGCCTTGTTCCCATCAGGAATCCCCAGCGTGGAGGATTTTCCTGCCACAGCTCAAGGAGCTCGGCCCCTTCACCCTGAATCCCTGTGGGATGAGAATCCGGAGCATCCCCAGGCGAGTGGCCACGTCCTGGGAAGGCCAAACTGCTGCAGCATGGAAGGGACAGCCCCCAGACCCTACAGTGACAGCCCCCAGACCCTACAGTGACAGCCCCCAGACCCTACAGGAACAGCCCCCAGACCCTACAGGAACAGCCCCAAAACCCTACAGGGACAGCCCCCAAACCCCACAGGGCAGCCCCCAGACCCTACAGGAACAGCCCCCAAACCCCACAGGGCAGCCCCCAGACCCTACAGGAACAGCCCCCAGACCCTACAGGGACAGCCCCCAGACCCCACAGGGACAGCCCCCAAACCCCACAGGGCAGCCCCCAGACCCTACAGTG